CAAAAGTTTTTCACTTAAAATTCGAAAAATACATGAAAAATTGAACAAAATATATAAAAATTTGCTCGAAATTAATTTATGATACATATGTAGATATATGGAAACATTATTAAATAACTTGAAGATCTCTTCAATCAAGCTCTTTAAGTAAGCTTGTCTACGCGTGCAGCAGCTTAAATGTATCTTCAAGATATACATAAATACTTCACTCACTCAATACGAACGTATCTGCATTCAGTTAAACACGAAACGAGACTGAGTAAGCCAAGCGCCGAACAAAGTAGAGATGAAGAGCTTGAGTAGCGTTTCATTGCGGCTCAATGTTGTTGTTGCTGTCTGTGCATATTTTCCTATGTTTGCAGCAAGGCACACACGCACACACACAAATACAAGAACTGAGAGAGAGACGTGCGTACGTGCGGGCGTATGTATGTGTGTGTGCGTGTGAGCAGCAAGTTTTAGGCTGTTGCTGTCAACAGAGACAAGACAAAAAGAAGAGAAGAAACAAAAAAAAAACAGTTTCTGCTTATTTGTATGCATGTGTGCGTGTGTGTGTGCTTTACCAAATTAGCAAAACCGGTTTACACTGGATGAACTTTAGGCAAGGGACTTAGCAAGGGCATCGGGGTATAGCAGTACCAGCAGCAGCAGCGAAAAAAAAAGACATGCTAAAGATAAACAAAAGCCGCTTTTGCTCATTAGCCATTGTTGTCGTGTTGTTGTTGGTGTTGTTGCTGCTGCTGCTGAAACGCGCGACTGATTCGAGCAGTCAAACATTTGTCCTGCCTCGCAGAACAAGCAGCTGCACCCACAAACCCCAGGTAGAACTAACTGCTCAGCTTTTTGGCAAATTTTATCAACAAGGTCGTGAGCGCAAAACTAAACAAAAATCGAGAGCGAGCATGAAGGAGAGAGAGCATGCGAGCATGCGAGCGAGTGAGTGAGTGAGCGAGAGCAAGGCAAAGTGTATGCCGATGCTCTGCTGTATGCATAGCAAAGGCGTGTGAGCGGGAGGGAGATGGAATGCGTGTGTGTGTGTGTGTGTGCGTGAGAGTGAATTCAACAAGTCGCGAGCTGCTCTTTGGTTGGTTGCCTCTGTGCATATGGATATTCGCGCTCATTTAATGCATACATATTTCCACGTGCGATCTGAGCTGCGAGTGTTATCTGCTCTGTTAGCGTGTTGGAGGCTGCACTCTAGCCACTGGTCCAGTTGCGTGGCGAAACGAGCTTAGCAAAAAACCATTTCAATTCATATTTGCTTAATTGCGATATTGTCATTTCAGGCACACAATACGCAGTTGCTATTGACGTCAATATTTGAGATAAACACACTGATAGCCTCATCCAGAGCCAGAGGCTAAGCTTCTGTATGAACACAAACACACTCCCTAATGGCTATAATACGATAATGCAACAATAGTAAAATATTGTTTTTAATACTTTTTTGCAACAGTCTAATAGCATTTTTGAATATTTATTTTTATCCATAATAAACAAGAGAATATTTAATCTTTTTTTCTCTCTAAATAAAAAATGATTTCATTGCGGCCAACCGACCGGCTGGCTTCATATGCATAGCTGGCAAAAAGCTACATACATAAATATGATAAAGCGGTTGTAAAGAAACTGTTGTTGTTGCTGTTTCAATATGCAAATCAGCAGAAATCGTGAGCAGGCAATGCCGACCCGTATTAATTGCAGCTTTTAGCTTTAATGTGCAACAAAAGGCCAAAGGCAGAAGGCCGAGCATTAACTGTAAGTAAACTAGAACTCGTATACTCTAAATAGGGGTAAATACATTTGCACTGGAATGAATACTGCGTACCGCAATGAGGGTTTGACTATGATCGAAAAGATGTAAATCTATACTGAAGTAAACATTGGAAAAGTCTGAGCTCTAAAGCTATAAACGCATTATAGTTAGTACTGCATAAGACTAATCTGAAGGAGTGAAATATGACAGAACATAACAGAACGAAATGAAAGATATCATATGGAAATGATCTAACACCCAAAATATTTGAACAGGAGCTGAAGTAACCAGGTCATAATATTGGGCTGAATGATCTTAAAGTATGGCGATAAGGCCTACATTGTTTGTTTACGATCTAAAGGATCTAAATATGCACTACAGTGAGCTCTGTATAGACGGAGGGTCTGCGTATAAAAATGATCGTGCTTAGATATATGTATGTACATATATAGTATCCAACATGTTAGTCTCTTGAGATTTCTCTCTCTCTCTCTCTCTCTCTCTCTCTCTCTCTCGCTCTCAGCCTCTTTCAGTGTAACTGAACTGATTCAGTATTTGCCTATTTTTTGTGAGTTTACTTTCCATCTCTCGCTCTCGCTACCAATCCGTTTCTCTCTCTCCCTCTCTACTCGCTTCACTGTAAACATTTGTTTACTCTGTTTTAGAACATGTTTCAATTAAAAATTATGTTTGATTAGCAATTGAAAGTAATAAAGAACGCGTTCGTTGACTCTTTGCCGTTTCGTTTTCGAATATCGCGTGAGCGCTCTCTGTTTGTATATTATTTCATACAGCGGTAAATCTATATACACACACATACATATTAACATACATTTATTAGTATTATATTTTTATTTGTTTTTTGCTTATACTTAATTCGCTTTTGTCACTGACCGTTTTTTGTTTTGTTTTCGACCGTCGTTGCTGGCCGTCGAACGATTCGTTGTATACTGAAAGTTTCTCTCCCGAGCAAGAACTTATAATTGTATTCAGTTGTGGTCGGACTGTTAAGGCGAACGGGAAGACTATTCTCGGCGCACCAAGACCTTTTCGTATTTATAGCCAGAAACAATTGCAAGTGAGAGAGAACTGGGTATATCGATTGCGAACAGTCGGTAGGGGGCGTGGCCACAAAACATATATCATCATGATCTGGAGCTGAGTCGAACGAGCTCTCTGTCTCTTCTGTCCAATATAAGCAAAAACAATATATTTGAAATAGTAGTCTTCCTTTTTTGCGCGTTTTACATATGTATAACATAATAATTTTCATATAGATCGGATATTCAGAACCGTAGTTCAATCAGTCTATTAGCGCTAATGGGCCAAAAGGCTGAACGATCGTCTAATGCCCAACTGTGCGTATGTATGTGTATGCTATGAACACTTTGCAAATTGTAAAACTTAGTTAAAGGATTTAGGGTATCTAAGAGTCGGGCAATGTCAACTAATTTAGCTTTGGGTCCAAAGCTCATACACGTGTTATTTACGTAACTTTATATAAATATGTATATCTAAAGGAACAAAGCATGACTAAGTTTTTAATGTCATCTTGGGAAACTGTAAAACGTTCTCTAAATCGAAATCGAAATCGAATCGGATATGCAAACATTGTATTTTTGTATCGTACAAGCCCCTTAAATACCCTATTGGTTGACATATATGTATATTATTATGCTTCCATCGACTCATTGTCACTGAACCTTTTCGATTTCTTAACAACGACATAAAAAAGTCACGTTTTCCATGCACTTGAATAAATTTTGCATTTACGATGCCATTGTGAACGCTAATTACTGCTTAGCAATTTTATGATTTACAAATCCATCTAAATTTTTCAATTTCCAAATGATGATAGGAGGAATAGCCGTATTTATTTCGAGTCACGAAGTTACGTCGCTGAAAACTTCACAAATGGCTTTGTATTGTAAACAAAGCGGTATCGATCGTATATATTAGCAACATATACGACTTACACTACAGATATAATCCACAATAATTTATACTATCATATTATTTAGAGATTTCATTCTATAAGCCCTTGCTTTATATGTACATATATCCTTTGAATTGAAATTTTATTCGTATTCAAGAATCAATTTTGAAGTTACCTAAGATATCATCATAAATTTTATAAATATATATATAAACTTTATCAATCAATAATTATGAAATTAAAATATTAGTCGTTTTTGGCAATTTTTTAAAATTATTGATGTTTGTTAGAGTTTTATAATGTCAACTATAGTGCTATGAAATATAAACATATATAATATTTCAACATATTATAGCAAACATAAACATATATACTTCACAGTATTAACAAAAGCTTTTAATTATCCCAGGCTTTCCCCATGAACAATAGATGGCAGATGGCTGCTTTTTATTACTGATTACTGTCAAATATTCATAATTAATCTCTGCATTGTATTAATAATTGTATGTATTAGTATGTAGGAATGAAGAACTACACCGAAAATATTTGATATGAAAATGAAAGTTCACACAAATTCTATTTGCAGTGACTTTGCTATACATATGTTGATGTTGGTGTTTGCTAAGTTGCGAGCTCGAGCCCGCACTGGGGTAAATAATTTGGGGTGTGTTGAATAAACACAAATATTTACTTAGTTTTATTGCATTACAAAAAAAAAAAAAAAAAAAAAAAAAAAACATAGATATATAAAATAATAAAAAACAGACTCACCGGCTTGCCAAAAGTCGTAAAATATTTGTTTGGGTCATAGTGAGAGCCGCAATATTTCATAGCGATCGTCTCTTCATTATACGTTTCGCTTACTCTTAGTTATTTATAAATGCTCTCTGAATTGTATATGTATGTGTGCATGCGTGTGTTTGTAAAATCAACAATGTACACAAAACGAAATACTCAAGCAGTTTGACAAAATGTAAGTTAGCACGTATGTGAGTGATGAAAGGTGTGGTGTTGCGTGTAGCGAGTTGCGCGCACATCGTAGAGTCGCGGGTTCAAACCCCGGCGTCGACACTTTTCGAAATAAGTTTAAGAAATTTATTTTAAAACTCCAATGCGACTCATCATGGCATAATGATTCGACTTTTTCATAGACGAAAAATTTCCGCATGAATCGTAGAGCAATCCAATGAGGTTAATGCACGTGTCTACTGACATTATCATATTGTGAATGACAGTGCTTCGTGCAATTTCCGTACAATATAAAATTATTTTAATTTTTGCTAAATTTTTTCAATGTCTTTATTTTAGCAACCACAAATTTTGTGGGAAAATTCACGCAAAGCGTGCGCCGCATTGTGCAGGATGTGAAGGACGAGGGGGCACCGAGCGGCATGACGCGCGACGAGGTTATCGAGACGAACGAACGCTTGAGATCATTACGGCTGCGCCTCGAGGAGTCCTACGATACGGTAAAGAAAGCACTGATTAATCTAATGAACCAATACGGCGACTCGAAGAGCCATCGCAACATCTTCCAGCGCTATCCCAAGCTCAAGCTCATGATTAAGGTAAACCGATTAGAGTGATGTGATTTGACAATACTAATAGCAAGTGACTGCAGGAAGTTATACGCCTGGAGACTCAGTATTGGACATTAGTCGATATTCCGCGACAGGAGAAGCAGGAAACTGTGCCCTCGTACGTGATGCGCGCCTGCTCAATCATGGAGAAGACCCAGAAGTCGGGCGAGGGCGTCAAGACCTCGGCTCGCCTGGCCGAGGAGGCGGCTGAGCGCCGGGAGCGCATGGAGCGCCTGGAACGTAAGTTGAGTCGTTAAGTCGAGTGATTAACACTGATTAGCTCCATCTAACCGCCAATAGACATGACAACGGCACAAATTGAGCTCGAGAATACGCAGCTGATTAATGATTTATATCGCTTGCTGAAAAAGTATCTCGGCTTGCGGCACTTGATACGCGTGCTAAAGGTGAGCGAACGAACGAACGAACAATCGAATTGAGACGTCCCATTCAATGCAGGGGAACAAACCCTTTTTTCTCTCTCTTTGTGCCCGCAGGAAGAGTACGGCAGCTCAAAGATGTATCCGATATTTCCGCGGTACACAATGCTCAAGGACATGATAAAGGGCATTATGCACGACCCCGACTACATGGAGGTGTGCCACGAAACGCTGGCCAACTCCAACTGAGCCGAGGCATCCGGAAATGGCAGGCGTCGCATGAGTGTCATATGAGAGGGCCACCAGGAGACGGACAATACAACACACGCACACTAATCCAACCGGACCGGATGTGTGTCTCTCTGTGTGTGTGTGTGTGTCTGTGGGCTGGATTTCATATGCGACTTTCTGCCATCTTCCGAACATGTTTAACAATTTTCAATGAACGTTAACTTTTTTGCATAGTTAGATACAAATCTTTAGATAATTTTTAGCCAAACAAAAAGGCAAAGCAAACAAAGCAAGAACAACAACTACAACAACAACAACAAAACACCTACCCCACCACAAAAGTAAACTACTTAACTACAACTACTACAACAACAACTAAAACTACAACAAACTATTTACCACAAACAGTAAAAGACCGTAGATAAAACTTGGCTAAGAGACAGATAGAAAGGGAGAGAAAGGGAGAGAGAGAGAGAGTAACCAAATCAAAGCAAAACAAAACAAAAAGAAACGCATTTATTTTAATGACTTTTTGAGATGAATATAAGAACTACAACAACAAAAACACCAAACAAAACTAAACAAAAACTAAACTTAAATTACGCGAATGATGTACAACTCAAGTATTAAATATCCTTCACAAATACATAATATAAACCATTAGCCACATACATACATACATGAAACATACATGTGTTTATGTGCATCTCAGCCATATCCATACGTCTATTAATTATACAACAGAATTATGTTCGATTTCGTATGAATTCTTTGCAATTGTAAAGTTGATGTACTTAAGTTTTATAAATTTTAGAAATCTTCATTGCAATTTTAAGAAAGTGTAACTCAAAACGTATTTAAAAAATTTATAAAATTTTATAGATTTATGAAATGTTCATATATTTATTCCTTTAAAAATGTTCAAACATTTATTCGAATATCAAAAACTTCATAAAACTCTGGCAATAAAATAAATTCCTTAAATTTAAATATTCAGTAAAAAAAAATCAAAGCTTGTAGCTATTTATGAAATAAGTTAAATTCCATCTAGATTCTTTCAAAAAATCTCATTGATTTATTTCAATAAGTATTCCTTTGTTTCCTATTTTCAAAATTATGATCTAGTAAATCTAAATTAAATTAAAATCTTATTCATATACATCTCTAGACATATTTCAATATTAAGCAAGTAAGCTGCTGTCGGGCGTAACCGACTGAACAAATACTCGTTCACAATACCAAATGACTATAACTCTGTTTTCCGGCCTATTAAGGTCTCTCTGTAAAGAAGGTCATCTCGAGGTCATCCCTATGGCTGATCGTTAATCTGTAGACCTAATTCTATCTTCCATTTTTCCAATATGCCACACTATTAACCTAACTATCATCAAATATAGGACTAATCTAAATTTCAAGTCTCCGAATCTCTGTTATAAACATAAATTGTCTAAAACTAATATACTCTTTGTCAACTTCGTGAACGAGTATGAATATTTAAATAACTTGTATAGTTAGACAATATAAGGGAAATGTTCCCAAACATTAAATTAAAACTACATTTCTTTACACTTTTTGAAGGAAACACCAATTATACTCGTATAATTATGAAAGATATATGTATATTCAAGTATAACAACAAATAACTCAGGATCATTTGCTATGGTTCCTTTGACACTTTAAAACATTTCGTAGCAAAACTATTTTTTCAAAACCAAAACCAAAATGAAAATCAAAGATATATGTATGTAACTGTGTGTTTAGCAAAAAATTAAAAGCTTTAAGTCCTATGCAATGTGTAATTAACACCCCAAAAAACCCTAGAAAAAGACGTTAAGTTTAAAAGTCGAAAAGAAAAAAAAGAAAAAAGAAAGAATTCCCTATGTCTTGGTACAGGTATATAACCTATGTTTTAGCTTTAGCCAATCTTACCAAGAAATACATGCAAATACGTTTATAAGAGACCAATGACAAATTCTACGAGCTTACAACAATTTAAACATTTGAACAAGAAGAAGAATCAAAAACCAAAACACTTCTTATTTCAATTTAATTTCAAGCGAGAAGTCTATACACAAAATGCCACCAAAGTATCAAAACTCTATGAGACTTACCGAACACTATATCAACACTATATGAATATCATAATTTCGAAAACGTATTTCTATACTACATCTATATTTTTAACTACAACGTTGACACACCCACCGATAATATCCATGATCAACAAAGATGGGATTAGGTATAATCCCTTCGGAATTAACAAACAGACAAACTCTATTTATATATCAGTTTTCCATAATAGATCTCCTACGTATGGATAGATCTAGATCTTCTCAATTAAAATGTGTAAGAAAATCTTGAAATGATCAAAGATATCGCACAATTCAATCATTCACAGGCTTAGCGAATTTACCAACCAAGAATCAGACTATATTGGCGACTGAGATAAAAACTCATAAGTGAGAAATATATAGAGAGAGAGAGAGAGAGAGGGAGGGAGAGTGATGGTAGGAATAATACCTCTATGTTTGAGAGTGATGGCGATGTTGAGAGATACCAAATGAAAATGAGAAAGTGAGGAAGTGAGACAAAAGAGAATAGTTTGAGAGAGCAGAGTGAGACAGAAGGTGAGTGAATAGAAGTCAGTGCAAGAAGGAGAGAACTTCTCAATTAGCTTCAGAAAACGATAAGCCGATAATATTTATTTTTTAAGATAGAAAAATCCAAGTGATCTTTTCGAAAAACTTCTTATAATACAGCCAGATGCCTCGTATAGTCTGATTCTTGATTTAAAAACATCAAACCACATATTTTGGATGATTTGTGCGTTTATCCTATATATTATGCATAATCAAATGATTTCATTAATTTTTACAAATTATAAAGAAACAAGATGAAGAAATACTGTCAATCTATTTGTCACAGAAAGAAACAAACTGGGCTTTAAACTATATACATATATAATATATGAAATATATATTATATATACAAATAAGATATGATTTGTTTAGCATCCATTCCATATGTTTTAATTGTTATTCAAAGTTTTTGTGTAGTTAAATGTTGGCAAACTAAATTCAGTGAAAATTGTATCTAAAATATATATACTGGATATATATATATATATAATAACGAACTTTAAAATGTTTTGCAATAAAGATCAAGTAATCAAAGAAAAAAAAAAAAAAAAAACACAAAAGCCAAAAAGAAAAAGAAATGAAAACAAACTTAAATTAATCAAAATGTATTAAGAAATTACTAGCAATATCTTAACGCCTCATTAGTTGATTGACTATGTGTGTGTGTGTGTGTGTGTGTGGCTTGAGTGTGAGAGTATGAGTGCGTGTTTAGTTGATGTGTGTTGCAATACATAATAGCTAGTGAATACTTACTTCAATGGATGTTTAATCCTGTATTATACAATCTATACATATATATACATATACAAACACATCGGAGGCTAACACATACCAACGTAAATACCAACAAAAACAAACAAAAACATTCAAACAAGGGGTATATACTATATACATAATACATTGACCTATACATATATATATATATATATACATACATATATATTATATACGAAAACATCGTACAATTTTACCTTTTCAACTTCTAAGTGTCTACCAGAAACGGAAAGCGGATATACAAAGAAAACTAAAAAAAAAAGAAAACCTAAAATCAAAAGAAAACTAAACAAACAACAAATATATTGTGTGTGTATGTTATTACATATGACATTATATTCGAATATGCAATATTATAAAAACCTATTAAATATATTGGTATTTAAAATATATAAAATGTGTTTTTATTGTTTTTTATTAATGCAAAAAATGCTTATTCAGTTAAAGCATTAAATTGGTTAATTTTTGTAGTTTTGATGGCGCCATCTATGTGTAGTTCATCTTACCAATGCGCACTTGGCTTCGCTTTGTTTACAATCTCACCCATAGATGGCGCCCACAAAAATTCACTGTAGCCACCATCATAGCCTTATGAATTTCACACATAGATGGCTCATCCGAGCTCTCAGCTTGGAATATTTCTTCATTTTGGGTGTGCCTGAAAACGTTTGAGCTAAAAAAGCTTACAAGTAAACTTCGCAACAAGTTTAATAACCATGAAAATAAGCTCTCGAAACACTGATAAATCTTCAATGTCGGCTACTTCTTGGCATGATTCGTACGTCTCTCTCTGACTGCCTCCACGTCGGCATCCGATGGATCCTCTGGCAGGGTGTCCACAGAGAGCGAGGAGCCCTTCGACTTGGAGCTGGCATTCGAGTTGGAGCTACTGCCGGAGTTCTTGGGATATTTAACCGCCTTGGTATTGCCCGAGCATTGGATAATGAAACGCAATTCATCTAGCAGCTCATCCTTGAAGTTAACCTAGCCAAGCACAAATATTTGTTAATATCTTTGAATAAATTGTTAAAATAACATGAATTGAAATTAACATGCCAAGCGACTACACGAATGTGTGAGTGAATGCGTTATGGACTCAATGTGTATATTAGGAGATTATGTTGGCATTTGAGTTAAATTGCAGTTTGAATGTATTTAGAGTGGCTCCATTAGTCCATGTAGAAGCTGTGACCTTCGCATGCCCAGTTTTAGTCACGACACAGTTAACTCGCCCTCCAACGGGCTAGCTGTTAATATATGAGTGGATGTCTATATAAATACACATATATAGATAGATTGTAGTTATTGATATACGCATATACATATATATGTATATATATTTATAGAGAGCCTCCACGCCTAGCGCCTTGGTTACCTTGTTCTCTCGTGCGGTCCAGTAGCTGCTGAGCACGCAGTTAATCAGTCCATAAATGCTGGCAAAACAGCTGCCCACGAACATGACAAGATAAACGCCGCCTAGATTCGCAAAGCCCAATGAGGAGGCATCCGAATCGACTTCCTCCTGCAGTCATTCTGAATGTCAACAGCTGTGTTTGCTCTGAGGGTGTGCAAGTGCGTGTGTGTGTGTGTGTGTGTGTGTGGGAATACTGAGGCTGACTACATAGTAAAGCGTATTGGTTACCTAAAAAGCCTTCAAGCATTGATGGTACCTTATTCTCGGTGCTGCGCTCCTTGACGCCCAGCAGCATCTCCAGCACGGATACTAAAACGCCAAAGGCGGCGCCCACGCCGAGCACCAAGTAAACGCCGCCCAGATTGCTTATCTCGAGGGCCAGAGCTCCACCCTCGTCGCCTGCATCCTGTGCACACACACACACACACACACACACACACACACACACACACACACACACACACAGATTCAGACTCAAACTCAGACATGTTCATACCCGTGGGAAAAGGCAAAAGTCTTTTCGGATATGTGAGCACTTACCGAACAGGCGCCACCGCCGCGCTTCTCCTTCCACCACTTGGTCTTCATTTTGGTCAGCAGGCCCTGCTCCTGCATCTCGAGTATGGCCTGGCTCAACACATCGCGGTACGGCCAGTCTGCAAAATTCCCATATCTATAATGCATAGCACTGAGAACGCTTTAGGCGAGAGTCGGGTGTGCCCGACTAGGACCAGCTCGCCTCATCATTAGCAAGACAGGGGGAATTGCTTACTCTTTCGCATAGCTATGCCGTAGCCCTTCTCATCCAGCAGGGCGCCCACCTGGGTGAGGGTGCAACGGCGCTCAGTGATGTACTCGATTGTGGTGGACTCCATAAGGAAGGCATAATTGCTATTCTCGACGCGATCGACGCCTTCCTGATTGGAATTCGTCATGTACTGCGGATGGTCCTTCATGAATTCGTACATCTTCTGGTAGGTGGGATATTTGGCATCCTAGAAAATAGAATAGACTTTATCTACTGCAGCTGTCTCACATGCCTAGCAGCCACTCGCCTTGAAGAAGGTAAAGGTGCTGCCGCCATTCTTTGCGCCGTAGTTGACTCCGCCCTTGTTCTCAGACAAATCCTCAGCATCCTCTATGGGTGTCACGAGCGACTCGACAGTGAGAAAGGCAGCCAGGTTTGCGGTGTAGGAGGATACCAGGATCAGCGTGAAGAACCACCACGAGGAGGCGACGGCACGTGTGGAAAATGCTCTGTATAAAAATGAAGAATTTGAGAAGCCTTCCTCGCTATGGAACTATAGGGTAACTACTTGGGAGCCAGCTCGGAACCTTGCTGCAGCAGGGCGCCAATGGAGAACCAAAGGCAATTGGCAAAACTAAATTGATTCTCCAATTCAGTGGGCTCCTCAATGCACGGGTAGGGATTATCCCACTCGGCTGGAGACATGCGGCCCAGGACAAACATGCTAATGGAGACACCCATGTAGGCGAGACCCAGCCACAGCCAAACCTCGCCGGAGAACGGCGACATGAAGGAGAAGAGCTTGGGCGGCTCCTTCATGGGCTTGCGAAACAGAATAGCAATGCCTGCGGGAGAGAGAAGAGCAGAGAAGAAAGATATATAGAGTTGATATATAGAGTGAGTGCGGTGGGGGTAACTCACCTAGATTCATAAAGGGAATGGTAAAGTCCACGCCGCTCTCTCGCTCTGACGTCATGGTCAAATCAGTTATGCCCATGTCAGCGCGCTAATTAATAATGTTATCAGAATTGCATTACACTCATTAATTGTCAATTACTTTCGCTTAACATGGTTAATTGGAAATTGCGAATAAATAATTGCAAATATTGCGCATACGCAGTGGAGCACGCAATGCATTTTTAAACACTATTTACTGACCCCGAACGCATTGCATTGTTGCCTTCGTATAAATAGTCAAATGAATTGCAAATTTAATAAATTATGAGAAATAAAGTGAATTAATAATAAATTGAAAATCATGATAATCAATCGATTAGATGTGTGTAAGCCGATTGCCCGAGGGCGAACTGAGAGCTCGTAAATATTGATGAGCGATGATAGGCTGAGGGCTGAAGGCAGTTAGACTTGGATTTATTGGCATCAGCTCCAGGCTCAGGCAGACACTTACGTGGTCTATTATCTCGCGGAGCATGCCGTTCCACT